TTTTATTTTAAAATAGTTCTTACTCTCTTGTATTTTTTTACTTTATGCCTTTGATTTGTTAAAAACAAACAAACAAAAATGTTATTTGTGTTATGGAATGGTTTTTCCTCTGGATTCTGCCATTGTGCTGGGCTCATGGTATTGTTTAACTTGTTCCCTATATTCTGTATTTCCTGTAGACTGGTTGTTGAATCTAGAGGCTTGATTAGATTCATGTCCAAATTTTTAGACAAGAATACTTTATAAGTGGTGCTAGAGTTAGCAGTCTTTTGAGGATGACTAATATTGAATTTTTAATTATTTTAAAATCAGTTCTAGAAATCTTTCTGCCACAAAACCAGGCATATCATGACCTGATAGTAGTTCCGTTCATCTGACTATATAACTTAGCTTACACTGCCTTTGGATGTGGCTGCATTGGTTTGTTGTTCTTTTTTATTTGTTTACAAAAGGCTACAATCTAGTACTGTTAGGGAAACTATGATGGCCCTAAGTTTAGTGAATCAACTACTTTTGAGTCATTCATATACATATTTACTTAGAATTAGTGTTGAGTCACAGCATATTTAAAACACTGAGTCACTGCTCCACATGCAGTATGATAGGAATTATTCAGATAACAATAATCATCTTCTCTGTGGTCATGCCTTAAATTAAAGATAACTGAAGTTTCAGATTCTAGATAATTCAAACTCCCAAAATAGCCTTCCTCCAATTATCCAGGTATTCTTTCAAAATATTGAGTTAATTCCCTTGATTCCCTCAAGCAATTTCGCAAAGATGTATTTATCAAGCCCCTGCTTGGAATAGATCAGGTTTACGAGGTGCTGCAGACACATAAAAGTAAGATAGAGTCTCTGCCCCCCAGATTACACTTGGTAGGGAAGACGGTGAATACATGCATCATTATGATGTAGAGTGTGTGACGTAAGAGTGACATAAACAAAGCACATAAATGTTTAGTTTAGGAAGATTATGGAAAAGTTTTCAGAGGCATTTGAAATAAACCTTCACAATTTGGTAGGATTTTTTTTGGCTCCTTGAGAGGTGGGAAAGAGTGACTTTAGCAGATATGAATAAAGGAGAAAACATCTAAAAATCCAGAGGCTGAAATCACTGGATATGGTTTGCCACTAGTTAAGGGGATGAGATAGGAGAGAGAAACCAAAAAGCAGATTTATACCACAAAGATTATTAAATACCAGCCTGATTTTCCTCCCTCCCTTCCTCCCTCCCTCTGTAGTGCTTAAAAGTGTCAAGATAAAGAGAGTCCAGAAAAACTGAGGACTACATACATGATTCCATTTATATGAAATGTCCAAAATAGACAAATCCATAGAGGTGGAAAGTAGATTAGTGGTTGCCTGGGGCTGAGGTGTAGGTTGGGGAGTTGGGGTAATGAAGTGTTCTATAATAAATTGTGACGATCAATGCACAACTCTGTGAAAAGGTTAGAAACCATTGGATTATATAATTTATCTGGATGAATTGTATAATATGAGAATTATATCTTAATCTAGTTGATTAAAAGAAAAATGATGAAGGGAGTGGTCCATAGTATCAGTTTTGGAAGGAAGGTCAAAGTCATTGAATACTGAGAAAAGGCTATGGAATTTGATGGTTAAAAATTCATTGGTGACCTTTAAAAGGGGAATTTCTTCTCTGACATGGTGGGAGCAGAAGTGAGTGGGTGAGGAGGAAGCAGAGGCCAACTTGTCTTTTTAAAAAGTTTGGCCGTGAAGGGTGAGTCCATAGGACATGGGCTTTTCAACTTCCCCCTACTCAGCCTCAACATTTATTTTTAAAAATCTTCTCATTAATATTTATTATTTCTGAAGAAAACCATTCTTTTGATGTAGGGTTTGCCTCTCCACCTGAGTTCTTAAGCTCCCTTTCCACTCTTAGTCCCAGAATCTTGCCTGATTTATTGTGTTTTTTCTTAGTTGAATCATAAAGAAACATCAGACAAACCAAAATTGAGGAACATTCTATAATATAATTGGTCTGGAGTGCTTAAAAGTGTCAAAATAAAGAGAGTCCAGAAAAACTGAGGAACTTTTCCTGACTGAAAGATTCTAAAGAGTTAGCATGATAACTAATGTAACACGGGATCCTAGACTGGCTTCTTTTGTTATAAAAGTTGTTATTGGGACCGCTCCTGAAACTTGAACAGGGTCTAAGGATTAGGTAATACATTAATGTTAACCTCCTGATTTTCATGATTGTATCATGTCTGAGAATGTCCTTGTGTGTGAGAACACTAGAGTAAATGGAAGTGATGGATATCATTTGGATAATTTACTCTCAAATAGCTAGTGAAAAAGTACTTTGTACAACCTTTGTAAAGTACTTTTCTATAAGTTTGAGATTGTTTCAAAAATATAAATAGAACTATTATTTTGAAACAAAAATAAAGTGGCCCTGGAAAGGCAATCCTCCCGGCAACCTGCAGAAGCTAGCACAGATTCTTTCTGAAGGAACACAACTTTAGCCTGAGTCTCAAAGGATTTCCACTTATGAATTCACAATTAAAATTGTAACACACAAGAAAATACATTATGATGAAGAAGAAGCAGCAGGAACAACACAGCAGAATTAGAACCATAAAGACTTCAGATATCAGAATTACCAAGTAATATGAAATATGTGTGTTTAACATGTTTTAAGAGGTAAAAAGGAGACATATATATATATGACTATGAAAAAAACAATCAGACTTGGAAAAAAGTCAAATGAGATGTAGTTCAAGAGAGAACTAGTGAGCCCGATGATAGACGCAAAGAAAAGGAAGTGGACGATTCTCCTCACTCAATACCTGGTTGGATATAAAATTCTTCAGAAACTCTTTTGTCCTCAAAAAAAAAAAAAAATGTATATATTACTCTATATTGTGTTTAGAATTGCAGGGGACAAATGTAAGCCCAACTGGATTTTTATTAGGACATTCACTAAAAACAGGGGGAAGGGATTCATTAACAGCAACTAACCAAAGAAGAGGGCACAACTTTCAAAACATGGTACAGAAGAAAAGATGGAGAAGCTTTGCATCTGAGGCAGTCCAGAGTGGCCCCCAACCCTGCCCTCACCTCTCAGAGACCCACTGAAGGGAGGCGGTGAGGGAGCCGGTCCCGAGGATACTCACAAATATTCTCCAATTCGTAAGAAGTACACCGTAGCAACAAGTCAGTAGCCTTTGCAGACGCTAAGCAAAAGCCCTAACTGCAGGTGCTCTGTACATGTCACCAGGGAACCGTAGCAGAATTTGGAAGGCCTGCAAGCCTGGCCAGGGCAGGCTGCTGAGTTTGGGGGAATCAGCTGGCATCCACAGAAGCAGGGCTTACCCCTGGCCAGGAGGATGGGCCCTGATGAGGACGGGTATATTCATTTCCCATAGCTGCTAGAACAAATTACCACAAACTTGTGGCTTAAAACAACATTAATTTACTATATCCCAGTTCTGGAGATCAGAAGTCTTGAGCTAATCAGAGTGAACCAAAAAGAAAAAAAAAAAAAAATGAGAGAAAAGAGTTAAAGCAATTAGAGAGAAGGAAACAGAGAAGGCAAGGGTAATTGCTTTCTCTATTGCAGAGAGCCTCAAAAACATGACAGAAAAATGTTTTTGGAGATGACATTTAAGAAATTTCTATAGTAAATGAAAAACTGAATCTTCAAATTGAAGACAAACAATATACCAGTAAAAATAATACAGAATGGTAATTAAGGCATTTCAGTTATGAGGAAAGAATTGTTCAAGCAAATATGCAGAAAAAGAGACCTATACTTATATATACAATTTAAGTATATAATTTATTATTTATATAAAATATTTATATTATAAATTGCATAATTATGATTATATGACTTATATAAATAAATATTAAAGTAGCCATAATCATACATTACTATAGATATTAATTTATATATATTAATATAGATATAAAATATTTCAATAGATTTATTTATAAATACATATATATATAGAAAACATACATGTAAGTATATGTTATCTTTAATTTTATACAATGAAGATTTTATATATATTACATGTTGTGATTACATGCCATACAGAAATATAAGTATAAAATGATACAGATTAATAGAGATGGGTTGGGGAGATAACCTGCTTAGACAGGGCTCTCAAGGAAGGTATCTCTGAGAAAGTTGCATTCGAACTGAGAGCTGAAAAATGAGAAGAAACCAGTATAGAAGGGTGTTTCAGGAAGAACAGCACGTATGAAGGGCCTGGGGCAGGAAACGGCTCAGCATGTTCATGTAACTAAAGGGAGGAAAGGGAAAAAAAAAAAAAAAAGAAGAAGCAGAAAAAAAATGTGAACCTAAATTGAATAGGAAATTTAGGAATTTTTAAACCTTCTAATGCAATCTGAAGTCTTATCTAGGCACAAGGCAAAATGGACCAAAGCCTAAGTAAATTATGCTAATACTCATCATCAAAGTAGCATTATCAGAAATACAAGGTTCAAAATTAAACAGAAGGGCAAAGGACAATTTGTGCAATTAGGTGCCCGCTTGAATACTTTTTCCATAGATAAACAGATAGTGGAACCAAAAGTAATATCTTGTTGCTGTTAATACAAAGCTTAGCACTTCAAAGATTTGTGAATATCTTTGAATCTGGGTAAAAAATAAAAATTATTAGATATTTTTAAAAGTTAAAAGTTTAGCCCTGGGCTAATTTGACATACTTAACAGCAATTATATATATGAGTCCAGTTAATAGGAATGAATTATTTGATGATAATGGTAAACAGCTAATGCTTACTATGTGCCAGGCACTTTACATGTATAATCATTGCAACACCCCTGTGAGGTAGGTACCATTATTATTTCCATTTTACAGACGAGGAAACGGAGGCATAGCAAGTATAAATGACTTGCCCAAACTCACACAATTGCTGAGTGTTGGAAAGGAGATTTGAACTCACAAGGTCAATCAAATCTGATTTATCTCTTAACCATTTCACTTTCAATTTGCTTTCCAGGAAGAATGACCCTATTACTGAAACAACCACCACCATCAGCACAACAGCATTTCAGCATAGCAAGGTAGGTTTAGGGATCTGCTGGTCCTGAATTCAAGCCACTTACTCGCTCAGTGTCTTTGGGCAAGTTACACAAATTCTCCATGTCTTGGCTCTTGTCAAGATTCAGTGACAGCACATACAAAGCACTTAGCAGAGGTAAGTAATCAATGAACGTTTGCTATTAGAAGTGTTAGCTGTTAGAGTGACAGAACTGGAATGGCCTCAGCTATTTGATCTGAGCACTTCATTTCACAAATGTGAGAATTGAAGCTCGAAGAGGTGAGAGCTATTCTTAAGGCCTCACTGTTTGTTAGGATTATTTGTTCATTCATGCAGGCATTCTTTCTTTTCTCTCTTTCTCTTATGTGCCCTGATCAGGGATCAAACCCACAACCCTGGTGCACGAGGATGACACTCCAAACAACTGACCTACTCGACCAGGGGATGCAGGAATTCTTGCATTCACTCATTGAATGAACACATGTTAAACATCTACTTTATAACTTTTTAAATTAAATTTATTGAGTGACATTGATTAATAAAATTATATAGGTTTCAAGGGTACAGTTCTATGATACATCATCTGTATATGTATTCACAAAGATATCTGCACCCCTATGTTCACTGCAGCATGATTCATGGGGACCAAGACATGGAATCAACCAAAGTGTCCTGTGATAGAGGACTGGCTAAAGAAGATGTAGTACAAGTACACAATGGAATACTGCTCAGCCATAAGAAGAGATGAAATACTGCCATTTGCAACAACATGGATGGACTTTGAGACTATCATGCTAAGTGAAATAAATCAGGAAAAGCTAAGAACCATATGATTTCACTCATGTGGGATATAAAACTGAAAGCAACAATTTTTTTAACCATTTAAAAAAATAAAATCACAGGTTCAGAAAAACTACACAAATGAAGAAAGTGGGGAACATGTTATTAAGAATTACCCAGTCAAGAAATAAAACCTTTGCAGCCCCCTCAGAGCCCCAGCCCCAGGTGCCCCTTCTTATGGGCACCCTGCCCCTCTCGCTATCCTGACTCTCCTTCCTTGTGTTTGCTTTTGATTTTGTGAACCAAGTGTACATTCCTAGATCCTGCTGTTTAATCTTGCTCTTTCTTTTCAACTTCAGGTGTTTCTTTTAATCTACAGATTCCCTTACAATTCCTTTCTTTTCCTTATAATTTATCTGTTGAAGAACTTGGTCATTCAACTTGTACAGTTTCTCAAAGTCTGGATTTTGCGAATCACAATCCTCAAAGTGCAGTTCATCTTGTTTCTCTATCCTCTGTTTTCTGCAAATTGGCAGCTGAATCCAGAGACTGGACCAGACTCAACTTCAGTGTGTTTGGCAAAACTGTATATGACGTTGTGTTTTTTCATCAAGAAGCATATAATATCTAATTTTTATTCCTTTTTCTTTTTTTCATGTTAGCAGCCTCTGCTCCTCAATGCGTAGATCGATTCATTCACTGGGGTTTGCAAAGTGGTGATATTCTAATTCTATAATTTTTTTTTCATGAATTAACTGGACTAGGTTTATAGAAAGACACTTTACCTCATTTATTTTTACCTAATGGTATAGTTTATATAGGTGAGGAGAATAAATGCTTGGCTTTTTTTTTATTTACCCAAGTGTAAAGGTTTAAGGTTAATGAATTAATGGTAGCCATTCTGGAAGATGTGAAGTGATATCTCATTGTAGTTTTAATTTGCATCTCTCTGATGATTAGTGATGAGCATTTTTTCATACGTCTCTTGGCCATCTGTATGTCCTCTTTGGAGAAGTGCCTATTCAAGCCCTGTGCCCATTTTTTAATTGGGTTATTTGTCTTGCTTTTGTTGAGCTATATGAGTTCTTTATATATTTTGGAAATTAAGCCCTTATCAGGTGTGTCACTGGCACACACAGTGGGTTCCCTTTTCATTTTGATGATGGGTTTTTTTTGCTGTGCAGAAGCTTTTCAGTTTGAAACAAGTGCTGGCAAGGATGTGGGGAAAAGGGAATGCTAGTATACTGCTGGTGGGAATGCAGATTTGTGCAACCACTATGGAAAACACTATGGAATTTACTCAAAAAATTTAAAATGGAACTACTGTTTGACCCAGTGATTCCCACTTATCCTAAGAAACCCAAAACACCAATCAGAAAAAACATGCACTCTTATGTTCATAGCAGCATTATTTACAATAACTAAGATCTGGAAACAGCCCAAGTGCATCAGTAGATGAGTGGATAAAAAAGCTGTGGTACATTTACACAATGGAATACTATACAACTGTAAAAAAGAAGTATCTCTTACCGTTTGTGACAGCATGGATGGACCTGGGGAGAATTATGCTCAGTGAAATAAGCCAGTCAGAGAAAGACAAATATCACATGATCTCATTTATAAATGGAATCTAATGAACATAATAAACTGCTGAACAAAATGGGTCCAGAGGAACAAACTAACATATCTCAGAGAGGAGGAGGTGGAGACAGGAAGAGATTAACTGAAGAATTTATATACATATATGCATAACCAATGGGCACATACAACAGTGTGGTGAAGGCCTGGGGCAGGGACTGGGAGGACGGGGATAGAGAGGGAGAAAATCAGGGACATCTGTAATACTGCCAACAATAAAATAATAAATAAATTTAATGAATTAATTTAGGTGATAAATTTGTACTCTTTGATAGCATCCTTGCTATCTGGTATGTCAAGATGGTCTGTGTTTCTCTGGTACATTTCCTGTCCCGGGTCTGGAATCAGCCACCTCTCTAAGGAGCATTTATTTCTTTTCATGGAAAACAGATTTTAAAAACCTCTTTGCTAATAAGTTGGTCATTATTTCTAGATCATAGAAAGTATGCTGTATACATATACATAAACACATACACGAACACATTGTTTCCAATTCAGCTCCAGGACTACAGATTTTTTACTTAACTCTTTTATGTTGAGTCTGCATACTCTTTCTTCCACACTGAAATCTTGGTTTTCAAAGACATAAGGGATGATAGAATTAGAATTACAATATCCCAAAACCACTCATTTGCTTTAACCTAACTTACAATACTATAGTCTATTACTATCACTACCAATTATGATTACTAAAAATAGTTACAAAAAATTGGGAAGCAAGAAATTCCACAAGGTAGAAACTGCACTCACCTCCTTCACATCATTACATACTATAATTTCTTTTGATAACCACATCAAAATTATAACTAAATTATAGAACAGCCTCTATCACCATCTGAAGACTAGCTGAACAGAAGTCCTATAACCAAGGATATACAGAAGAAGCCACCTCGAGACTGGTAGGAGAGGTGGAGATGCAAAATGAACTGGCCCTGCATCCACATGTGGAGGTTAAGAATCCAGAGGACTATCTCAGCTGTATAGGTCCTCTTGAAGACCAAGAGGTCTCAGCCCCACTCCGGGCTCCCCAGCACAGAGCAGCAATGTTGGGAAGAGGAATCCACATAACAACTATCTGAAAATCATTAGGAATTCCTTTCCCCAGGTGAGACAGAAGACTATTGGAAACCTAGGTGTTCTCTAGCAGGGGTGGGGAACCATTTGTCTGCCAAGGGCCATTTGGATATTTATAACATCATTCTTGGACCATACAGAATTATCAACTTAAAAATTAGCCTGCTAGGAGATTCCAGGATGGCAACAGATTGAACGGAAACTACACTGACACTCTCCCAGGACCAAACTGAAATTACAACTAAAATATAGAAAAACCATCCTGAATAATCAACCGAAGACTAACTGGAGAGCACCCTCATAACCAAGGACTTAAAGTGGAGACCACATAGAGACTGGTAGGAAGTGTGGAGGTGCGAGAGGGCTGGCTGGGCTCCCACCGGCAGCAGCTGAAGGCCCAGAGGGATATCCCAGCTCTGGAGGGTTCCCAGAGAACTCTGGGGCCTAAACCCCAAGCTGGGCTTCCCAGCCCAGAACACCAGAACTGAGAAAGGTGCCCACATAACATCAGGCTGTGAAAAGCAGTGGGGTTCCTGTCTGCCAGGGAGAGATGGCTGAAAATGCAGGCATCCTCTTAAAGGGCAAATGCACAAAGTTTCGTGTGCAGCCACTCACCTTGGGCTCCAGCAGAGGGAGGGCAGAGTGGACTGGAGCAGTGTGAAGAGAATCTAGGGGGGCTGGCTGGGGGAATAGAGCTCAGAGGGCAACTATCTGGATTCCTGTGTTGAGTCATTCCCCCATACTACAGAGGACATCTTTCTCAGGCAGACATTTACAGTCCAAGCAGCTTTTGCCTGGGAGGGAAGCAATTGCCCCACCCATTGAAAACCTCTCACCCCACCCTGTGGAGTTTCTACAGCCTGAGGCTTCACTTATATGTGAACTCTAAAGAACAAAATAAACGAACAAACAAGACAAAAAGAGACTCAGAGAAGCAGAGAACAAACTGATGATTGCCAGAGGGGAAACGGGTTGGGGGACTGAGTGAAAAAGGTGAAGGGATTAAGCCAACAATATTATAATAACTATGTATGGTGCCAGATGGGTACTTGAATTATCAGGGAATCATTTGGTAAATTAAATAATTGCCTAACCACTATGATGTACACATGAAACTAATATCTAATACTGAATGTCAACTGTAATTGAATAATAAAATTTAAAATAAAAGAGGAAAAATGGGAGGCATATGCTGTCTTTATTCTTCCCCTACTTTTATGGCAATACCATATTTTTGTTGTATGTTGTAATATAGCCATTACATACTATAATCTTTCTTTTAATCTTTGTTAATCTTAGATGTATAAGAGCTATATATTTGTTTATCACCAGTCCTTATGCTGATGTTTCATAATTACTTTGGTTTTCTGAAGCTTGTTCTTGAGTGCATTCCTGAGGAAGGGCTCATGGGAGCCATATTTACTGAGTTATTGCGTATTATAATGTGCTCTTTATACTTTATAGTCAGTTTTACTCAGGATATAAAATCCTTGGTTCACATTTTCTTAAATGTTATTCCATTTTTCTCCT